AAGCCAATTCACTTCGTGAACTCGGCAACCAGGTTACCGTTTTTTTTTTTTTACCTCTGTTTTTTTGGCGGTAACCACAATGGTGGTCGAGTAGATCATGTTGTGCGGGATGGAGAACACTCGCTCCGCGCAAGGGGGATGATCGCACCACGTTGTGTTAGAATGGTCAAGCACCCTCGAGGCAGTTACACAGTGCTTACAACTGTCTCTGGAAGCGAAAATTAAGTCATACGCAGCTGTCATCCGTACGCAAGGAAGTAAGCACAAGATGCCGAACACCCTTAGCAGGATGCAGCGCACCCTTCANCCCGCCCCGCCCCGCCTGCTGTACATGCTACCACGGCACCCCAAAACACGTCAGATCAACCTGGCCCACGAGCTTCACAAGTACGGCGTGAACATGCGGCATATCGGGCTCCTCCGAGCCTACGTGGCCCCTCCGGCGTGCGAGGGCCCCTGGGCAGCAGCCGCCGCCGCTGGTGTAACCGTGCCGGCGAGGGCCGCTACCAGCAAGACCAGCGCGGGGATCATGAGGGATCGTGCTCTGGTGAGAGGAGAGAGAGAGAGAGAGACTACAAGTAAACGACTGGAGTTGTTTTTTGGGGGGGGGGTAGTCCAAGGGAGTAATGAGGAGTCGAGGAGAATCATGGAGAGTCGAGGAGGATCATGGAGAGTCGAGGGGGATCATGAGGGACCGTGCTGTGATGAGAAGAGAGAGACCGACGACTGGAGGTGTGTTGTTTTTGGTGCGTAGTCGAGGAGGCACGGGTCGTGAGTCGACCTCGATGGATATTTCCGTTGCATCATCGAGAGGCACACGGCAACATCGAAACGGCACACCGCCGTTGGTATTGCGCGAGTAGGCGCCTGTTGAAAGTCAAGATGTGCGGTTTGTGATGGGCCTCTCGTGACGCTTCACGGCAATTCTGACTTGCAGCACAGCACTCGCTGAATCCAATCCACCCCCACAAGCAAAGGTTTCGACTTCACATTGGTGTCATTGCGAGGACTTGTTGCGTGCGCTGCTGTACAACCTCTTGCACCATGTTGGCACCATGCTGGATTATTGTGCTCCGTGTGTACGCTTGAGCTTCCGGTTGCGAAGCTGCTCCGCCTTGCGTTGAACGCGGCCTTGACTCGTGCCTTTGTCTCGGCGGTGTTGATCACGTGGGGGGGGGAGGGCAGGTAGAGGTGGTGGTGCGGACGCTGAAGCTGGTGCTGAGAGAGTTCCAACGGCGCTGGATGAAGTCGGAACAGAGCTCTTCCGAACAGGTGAGAGTGCGAAGCGCGGAGCTACATGCACTAGCTCTGGTACAGCTGCTGCAAGCTGTTGCTGCGGCTGCGGCTGCTGCGGTAGCAGTCCACATTGTGGCAGTGACGTTCTGGTGCTGCTACAAGCTGTTGCTGCTGGTGTAGATGTTGCTGCTGCTGCGGAAGACCCGTGGCTAGTGACGACGCCGATTCGTGCGATTCGAGCTGTCGATGGCTGCAGGGGTAGTAGATAAGTTCCGGCACGTATGGCTTGTAGCCCGTTCCCCTGCAAATTGTTCAAGAACCATCCAATATGTAGTATGCTTTAGTCGCTGGCGCGTTATTCTTTAGATGGCTGGACAGGCACGAACACGAAGGTATTGCGTCTTCGCCTTGTGAAATCAACAGCATAAGCATGAACAACTCAACGATTATAGCAACAGGACGAGACAATACAGATGAACAACAACAACAGGCACATCGTCGTCAACAACAGCGGAACAGCGAGCGTCGCGATCGTTTTCCAATGAAACGAGGAGACCGTTAACAACCCCAAACCTGTTGCCCCCTCTACCACAACGCTTGCTGCTGCATCCCGCCCGTCTGCCGCGCAATGTTCGGAACGACGCCCCTTCCCCCAGGGCATGCACTTGTTGGTGACACAGTTCCTGAACCTTGTGACAGGCCATCACGAGCGGTCCCACCTCTTCTGGCAGGAGAACGTCACCACAGGCGTCTGTCAAAGGCAAGCAGGCCGTGCGCGGTGTCGTTGGACTTTTACTCTTTCTGCTGCTGCAGCCGCTGCTGCTAATGATGATGATGATGATGATGATTATGATAATGACGTAAAATTTAGCAGACCGTGCCCTCTGCTGTTGATGATCTGGTAAAGGCCCTGAGCGGAGACCGGAACGGTTTGTGATGTGAATACAACAACAACAACAACAACAACAACTCTCTTCTCTGGCGTCCCCTGCCTCACGAAAGCCATCCTATTTTTGTGCGCGTGCGCGTGTGGTCTGTCTTGCCTCCCGCCGCTTTTCAGGTTCGGCACTGTTGCTCTCACCGAGTCAGAGCGCGCCGGACTGTGGACAGTCTGCTCGGAGCGGCCGGAACTCCTCCTCACCATCGTCAAGGAGCTGGTGAAGGTCACCGGCGTCAGGTGTGGTGAACCCGCCCCCCGCCCCCCCCGAACCGTCGTCGGCTTTTGTTGGCCTCCGTTTTCGTTTTGCCCGATCCCCCCTGAAGCTATCCCCCCCCAGTGTTTGCCATCGGGATTGGGTTTTCGTCGCTTGGCAACGACGTTGTAAATAAAACAAGCCAATTCACTTCGTCAACTCGGCCACCAGGTTACCGTTTTATTTTACCTCTGTTTTTTTTTTGCGGTAACCATAATGGTGGTCGAGTAGATCATGTTGTGCGGGGTGGAGAACCCTCACTCCGCGCAAGGGGGATGATCGCAC